GGTGGCGGGCGTGCTGATGGTAACAGAGGCGCTGCTGTTCGTAATGACGTTGATGATGATGGTGACCTTAAAGTTGATGGTCTTGGTGTTGTGTTGTCCGTTGACGTTTGTTTATATGATGGATTTGAAGGAGCGTTTGAGGACGTTGGTGATAACGTAGGACTCCGAGGTATTGTTAAAAACGCTTGTGACGTTGGAAAAATAAGTGACGGAGTTGGTGTTCTTGCTTTAGAATGAATACTTTGAGATGATAGAGAATATGATGTGTGAGTTGATAATATTTGTGGTGATAATGAAGGAGGCGGTAATGAAGATGGAGAAACTGGCGGCGAATCTCGTGGAGTAAGTGATGGTTGATCGTGTGAAGGTGTAGATGATTGATTTTGTATGGATGGTGTTCTTTTGTCCGATTTCGGTTGAGTTGTTGCCTGCCTCAGCTCTTCGAATAATGAAAGCTTTGCTAATAATGGTGTTACCGGCCTTGAGTCTTGCAATAACGGAGAATGTTGTGGTGTGGTAGGTGTTGACGGTAAAGGTGTTGCTGGTGAAATATAAGTTGATGTGGACATAGGTGGTATTAAAAATGGGTTAATCGGTTCAAATTCAGGATCTGATCGAGGATTGAAATTAGGAGTTGATTGTTCTGGCATTCCAGATATAGGTTCTGATGGAAATTCTGGTAAATTTGTGGACCCTTCCGTAGCTGGAAAATATGGTGTCGTAGGTGTGGGAGGAATTGATCGAGCAACATGTGAATGTGGAAAAGATGTCGAGTCTGATTCTAAAGGCACATTTGGTTGTGAAGAATTATCAAGGGTGGAATCTGCTGTTGGTGATGATGGAGGATGATGTAATTGAGCTGTTGAAGAAGTAGCTAAAGATAATGGTTTCTCATTAGTAGAGGTAACTGTTCCTGAAGTATAATTAGAGTTTGATAACGTGTTCGGCAGTTGGTTTGATGAATCATGTGATGAGTCATTTGACAAATTATTTGAATCATTTTGTGAATTATTTGATGAATCATTAGATGAGTCATTTGGTGAATCATTTGGTAATAGTTTTTCTAAATCTGCGGAAGATTCGGAATGCTTTGTATTCACATTATTAACGTCAACAATAGCATCTATCATAGCGTCAAGTACAGCATCATCTGAATTAGGAACATTAGTTTCAGTAATATCATTTGTTACATTGTCCTCGGTGACTAAGTCAAGGTTATTTGAAGTGGCAGTTTTCACATCAATTTCTCCAGTATCTGCATTTGTTTCATTAGTTTCTCCTGTAGTGTTTTTCTCTTTGTCATCGTCCACGCCTTCAGAAGATACACATTTATCATCAGACTTGCTAGTTTTCTTGACAACTGAAGGAATGTCATTGGCTTCAAGAGTATTATGGTTAGTAACATGACGGTCAACACTTGTAATTGCTTCGCCATTAAGAGGACTATTCTCAATGTCATTATCATTCTTTAATAAGGCATCGATTTCTTCATCAATCGCATGAAGTTCTGAGACTAATTTTTCATCATCGATATCACAGGTTGATTCAACTTCATCCTCCTGTTCAATTTGAGATTCAATTTCTTCATCTTCAGATGGATATTTAGACGTAATATCTTCATATTCCGAAACTTCGACTTCTTGACTTCGTTCATCATTCATAAGTTTCATATCATTACCATCAGCATCAAGTGATTCGATTATAATATCATCGATAGCTTTAGAATCATTAACATCTTGATTCACTTCAGAATTTATATCTCCATGGTCTTTCAAGGATTCAATAAAGGTGGGTGTAAGTAATGTAATAGGCCCAGACGTATTTATAGGTTGTATAACGGGTGGTAAAATGTTGATGGTTATTGCTTCTCCTTTTTTACCTTCGGAATTTATATCCTTATCCAAAAGTTTATTATCTTTATTAGTTGGCTGACTGAAGGTTGCTGTTAATTCATCGCTACTATTTTGTCGGCTACGTTTACCTAATCTAAGAGTTTTCATTATCGTAGATTTCTTTCTTAATTGTTGTGTCGTATTGACCGTGTTATTTTGTTGATTGTCAACAGTTGATGATGTTGATGACCGATGTTGTGTCGCATGGACTGTGTTAATTTGTTGATTATCAACAGATGATGATGTTGATGACCGATTTTTCGAAGAGACGGACGGTAATGTTGATAAATATGATGCTAGAATAGGTGGAATAGGTTTGCTGGCTGCCATCTTTTGAGATTTGGATGTTTTCTTATTAGGTTGCTTCTTTTGCTTACTATTAGATTGTTTATTTTTTACAAATACAAAATCATTAATATCGGACGTTGGTAGATTAACCCCTAGAAGGCGAATATTATTCCATGCACGATCAGGTGCATGGTACATAGTATCTCGAAGAGTTTCAATTTGAGATGCGGTATCAGATCCCTTTCCTTTTACCATACTTGAATTATCACTTTCTCTATTAGAACTACGAATTGAAGTAGAACGATTCGAAAGTAAAGATTTTCTAGAAAAATTGTGTGATAATGATCGACTACCAAAATTATAAGATTTCATTGTTCTTTGACGATCCCATTCAATAGCTGTCATTACCCAAGACGCTGAATTCCATTGTTGCCTTAAAGTGCTAATTTCATCACGAACGATATCAAGGCATTGTTTGATTTTTTTTGTTTCTTCAGGAACTTTAGGAAGTTCATCCGGTTCAAAAAAGAAATCTTCAATATTTTGTTCATTAACATCTGAAAAATTTTCCATGGTT